AAATTTTTTTCTAATTATTAATTAATTCAAAAATTTTATTGAGGTATTTTTAAAACTAATTATACTTTGAGTTTATAAGTGAATTCTCAGATTTTTCCGATTTAGCTTTAACAGTTTAATATTTTTTATTCGTCGTCATTTTTGATGTTTTTGAAACTTATTGAACTAAGAATACTTGATTCTTCATTTTGGAACTTAGTTTTTTTCCTTATTATGGAACTTCAAAATTGAAGTACGTAACCTCTTTTATTACGTCATCATCACACCCACACGCAACTGTCTACTCTAAATAATGCTATATAGAATGAGATAGCAAAACAAACGTGTGTAGTTATTTAAATTCTTATTCAAAAGTATTAGTTAATTTTTTTTTTTTTTTTGAACTAACAATTTCTGTCCTTTTTTAGACATTTTAAAGTGCTATTTAAAACTGCTGCATATCACATGAGAGCATTAAATATATCATATGTACAATTTTAAAGTATAATAAAAGGGAATTCGGATCTTTGGAAACAGATATTAAATAGTCTGATGATCGAATGATGGGGTAAAAAAAAAACTTTTTTACCTTTTAAACAAAAAAATTGCTTATTTATAAATAATTTATTAATACTCAAATTGCTTGAAAGATGATATGTTCCCTACTAATGACAACGAAGTTTTTTGTTTTATTCAGTCATTTATTTATATTTATTATGTCCGACAATGTAAAAATTAAAAAAATGCATTTTGGGCTTCTGAGGGCCCCAGCTCCGAATAAAACTTTATAAAAAGAGGGGGGAAGTAGGATCTGGGGGCCCTAGTCATCTTGGGGCCCCAAGCTACAGCTTATTTAGCTTATACGTAAATCCGGCCCTGTATATATATATACATCCTTCTTGTCAAAAAAGAGATTTGTCGGAAAAATATAAAGATTTGTGAAATGTTTTTTTTTTATCACATAATGCATAATTTTAAAATAAATTAACTCAAATGTTCTTGAATGAAAGAGAAAAAAAAAAAGAGATAAATATTTTTTGAGCAACATAAATGCAGATTAAATATTTTAATTAAAGAAAACGTATGGGGTCTAAAATGGTATAAAATGAGAACAAACGCATTATAGCTCATCATTCATGTGGGATTTATTATTTATTAGTGTATTTTTTACTTCAAGACATTTATAATAAGCGAATTATAAACTTTTCATTGTTCTTCTGATTTTTTTTTTGTAGATTGTGGCTATTTTTTTAAAATCTAAGTTTGCTAAACTTTAGAATCGTAATCTGCCAAGAGTTTTT